TGAGCCCTATTTTATTTAATCTTAACTTCTTTGCAACCCAGCCTCCAATCTTCCCTTTATTTGCATCTAATGTCTTCGAAACCCTTCCTCCACTCATTTTATTTACTGCGTCATAAGCTCCAAGTGCTTTTGCTCCAAATGCTAATGCTTTTGTTCCCATTGCGCCTAAAGCTGCCCAAGCTACCATTTACACCATATTAAAATCATCTCTCTTCAATATTATCTCATAAAAGTTCTCGTTACTGGAGAAAGTCAATGAAACATAAACATTCTCACGGGCTTCGCCCTCACCGCTTTGCGGTCTATCTAACTTATTTCTTATATCATCTATACGCTTCAAAATGTCTGAACAATTGCTAACATCTTCTACAACAGTTATTTCATCATGAATGACCTTCAAGAACAAGCTCATTTAATATGCTATTAAAATCATCTCAATAATGAGTCCATCCTTTCCATCTTTAGGTAGCACAACATCTTTCATTGAAGAAGGTTCGACAAGTCTTATGTTAAACTTACTGACAAAGTTTGTTATACTATAATGCTTCGGCGGCGAATACATATAGTTTGAAAGACATAATATAGATTCTTCAGCAAATTCACTTATACTGGATTTTATAACAATGTTCTCACGAGACCAAATACCACCAATTGACAATCTTGTAAGCAATCCTGCTGAACCTTCAACTGTAAAGTCGATGGTAACATTCCACGAAGGTCATCTATTGACATCTTTGAGTCACTGAATTTAAATATTTTCTTAAAGCAATCGTCATTATCTAACCATGCAATAGCTTTGAAGTTTTCATTCGAATATACATCTGCTTCATTAAATGTAAAACCTGACTTCTTTGCAGAGATGACTTTAAAATCTATTGAGTTTGTTTCAAAATTATATGCTATGGTAACTTCTGAAGGTAATGGATGTCCTTCCGCAGTAAGTTGTTCTCTCACTACCGTTTGAAGCTTTGTGTTAAAAACTTTCATGTCATCTCCTGTATCTAGTTCACATACACAGCAACAGGGAAACTATCTTGCTTCTTTGTTTCATCATTATATCTCAAAACATTAAAGTTCTTCAATAATATTGTTCTTCCTGCTGGAATACTTCGAACCTGTCTGATTTCAATAGCTTTCTCACCTCCTACATACTCTACCCAGTGTCTTGGATATTCATAAGTATACTGACTTTCTTGAATTTTGGTTGGTTTCATCATAACATGTTCATAGTATATCTTTATACTCTTGTCAGTTAGACTCGGTGCTATGTTCTGAATATTTCTGACTTGCATTTTTAATGGAGATAAAATGAAGCATTTAATACATGACGTAGATGAAGACATGAATGAAACTACAGACAAACTTAACTCTTCTCTTATTCTTCCTTTCAGCAAAGATTATGAGTTCTGTTCAAATGGTGTGTATTTCTATTGTGGAAAGATGGGTTCAGGTAAGACATTCAACCTCATTCGTCATATACTCATAACAGACGTTTAGGAAACGACTCTTATTATGACCAAATCATTATATCAGCAACTTCAGACTCTATGGACTCAACAGCGAAAACATTTATGTCAAAAGTTCAAGCCTCTGTCGTTAAAGTTCCAGACAGTGAACTCATTGAATTTCTTCAACGTTACATTCGACGTAAGAGGAAATATTATGCCATCGTTGAATTTATACAGTCAGGAATGCAAAAGACTTCTGAGGAGATGGAAAGAATTATTGACAAACACCACTTACGTCAATACTCAGGAGTTTACGATATGAAACGACTTACAAACTACATTCTGTCAAAACTTTCAAAATACCCCTTCAAAAAATATCCTTCAAACACTCTGCTCGTTTGTGACGACTTCGCCGGAAAAGGTTTAGTGTCAAAACCAGACTCACCATTAGCTAACATCATAACTAAAGTCAGACATTACCATTTAACTGTAGCAATACTTATGCAAACATGGCGTTTTCTTGCTTTAAACATAAAACGTCTCATAACTGACTTCGTTATCTTTCAAGGTTTCTCACGCTATGATATTGAACTCATTTGGAAACAGTCAGGTATAACATTACCTTTTGAAGAAATTTGGGAAGCATATAAGTCTCTCATCTCTCCTCGTTCATACCTTGAGATTCATATCATGACTAATACCATTAAAGTCACAAATATTCCATGGGAACGACCAACATTGTTTTAAAGTTTAACCTTCAATTGACTGATGGTAAACAAATTCCATGCATCTCTGTCGCCATTTCTGTTAATATTTTTGCTGTCATTCATATCATCCACTTCCCCATCCGTTAGCTTTTGAGGATATGCGTTAGAATAGCTGTTCTTAAATGAAGGCTTTTCACCTTTGAGAGCATAAACTCTATAACTTTCTGCATACTTTATGTTTGAACCTCCTGAGCCATCATTGACATAAATTTTTATAGGCTTCCACCCTTTGTTCATGTTCCTGCTTCTTCCCTTAGCTCTTTTGTTCAGTAGTTCTACATCTTTATACACAGCACCTGTCTCAGTGAATTCAACAATATTTTCATTCGTTAGCTTTACATTCAAACCCTTGTCGAGTATATTGTTCATTTCATACATATAAAAGGTTTTTATTCTATATGAAATGAGAAGCAAATCCATCTTAGCTGGTGCCGTTAATGTTCCAATTGAACCAACATCAAATGTTGACTCACGAACGACAAACAATATTGTCATAAAGAACTATAGTTCAGAGTGTTTGAAAGAAAAAGAACCAGATCTTAAAGTGCATCGCCGTGAATTTAAACACAGCTTCAAACGCTAACGCTACATCAGATGTTAAGTTAGAGTATCCACCACTGGACCAAATTCTTTCAAGAGAAGCCAACGACAACCCTTACACAAATGTTCAAACAAATCCTTCAGATAACGTAGACCATTACCTTCTTCAGTTATACCAAACAATTTTACTCAAAGACGATAAGAAGCTTTTGACAAATCTTATAAGTAAGAACCAAATAATTCTAACAAAGGAGGACCTTGAAAATGTTATCTCACGAATAACAGGGAAACAATGTGTCATTGACTATCTCGACCCTGAAATCGAATGCTGTGGTCAAACTCCACTATTCATGAAAATAGGTAACATCCGCATCATTGAAACACCAGGAACTACAGGAGTTGAGTTTAAGTATAAATATTCGAACGAGTATACAAAACTATCTACTGACTATAAGCTTTGTTTGAAATATGTTTTAGTAAATTAAAGCAGTCAGGAGGGCCTTGGTCTTGGCGCTTTGCGCCGTCAGTCAAAAAATTTCAAGTTAGCAATTTGTAATATCTATCCAAAACTTCTTCAACAGTATCGAACTCATCTTCATAATGCAAACCTAATCTTATTGACTTGGTGCAGTTTTCACTAACACAATATTTTTCTGTTCTCTTGACTGACATAACTAACTCATTTGTTTCATCAAACAGCAACAACCAAAGTTCATGACCTAATACATAACATTCATACTTTATATTTTTAGCTCTGAGTTCTCTTGTAAGCTGTTGCATTTAATATTTTCTAAAAAGTCAACTTCAACAGTCATTCGCACTGGTGCCTTCAGTTCTACAGGCTCTCCTTGAAAGTCAACAAGTCTGAATTGCATGTCTTTCAAATTATGAGGACTAATGCGAACCCATTTACCTAAATGAGTTGCTATGACAGGAACGTTTGGAATGAACATTGAATTGACTGCATAACAGAAAGACTTATATTCTACTGAACCTTTACTATTAACTCCTGAAATACCTGTGACATTAGCTATTTTTGACTCAATGTACAAACAATTACCATAACATACGTATGGAACAGATTTCATCTCAATCGTTTTGTCAACACTTTTCAAAGGAAATGTCATATGGTATGCACCCAAAAGAAGTTGTACTCTATGACTCATTCTTGGTATCTTAAACTCTTTCTCGCTGCTGAACTTCAATGTTCCCTCAGAAGAGAGTTCGACATCTATGTTGTCAATAGTTTCTTCATTTATGAGAGTATCTATGACTCCAGCAATTTTATCTATTCTATACCCAGCTCTATTAGGAAATGTTATAACACTTCTTTTGTCATCTATTTCAATCTCTATGAAATCTGTTTCATCTGTTATGACAAAAGTTGCGATAGTATTGAAGTCAACAACTCTGAAAGCAAGCGCTTCATTCTGAAGACCTAAGTTTGTTTGTAGCTTTACTGTCCCGTATTCGTTTGGGTCTGTACTTTGCAAATAGAACAACATTTTATTCTCATTAAAATATGACTATTGCTGCATATGCGTATGAAACAAATGAAGCAAGAAGAGCACATGAACTAGTAAACGAAAACTCAACTTTAACCATTGAAGGCAATGATTTAGTCATTGACGATGGAAAAACTAAAAAAGTCATTGATTTCGATACTTTTAACACTTATGACCCATTCATTACAACAAGCAAGGTTCCCATCATAAATGATGGAACGGTGCAATATATAAATTCTACAGTAGATGCCTCATTAGTGAAAGTATTAAATGTTCTCATTGAATTGTTAAAGAGCTTTCGATTTGACGACAACATTAAATGCCTAAAGAATTTAGTCATGAATGAGAAACAAATTCTCGGCGTTGCTGGTAGCAGTAATGATGTACACCTTATGACATTAGAATATTATAACGAACATAAAGATGAACTGAAAGGAGAGAAGGGTGACACCGGACCTCAAGGATCACAAGGAATACAAGGAATAGAAGGAATACAAGGAATACAAGGACCTCAAGGCGAAAATGGTTTGAATGGTGAAGATGGAAAGGATGGAAAAACTGCTAAATCATGAATATGGAACCTTATAAATACTGGTTTAACAGCTGCTTCATATGGAGTTCTTCAATACCAAATCGGAAAGATATGGGCAGTACTTGGTGAAGAAGTTTTAGATGACGTTAAAAATGCTTTGAACTTCATTTCAAATGGTTCGGATACTATTAAAACTTTATCTGGTTGGATGCAAGAAACAAGGAGTCAAATAGATACTGTAAGACGTATAGCAAACAATGCACGTACGGGATTGGATACTTTACGAGAAGCACAAAATACACTAAAGGAAGCAAATGATATTCTTGGCTCAGTATCAGACATGCATGAAGATTGGCTTAAAGGTATTGACAAATCTTTAAAAAATCACAGTCAGTCTATTGCTGACTACAAGAAAAGTATAGATTTTTTACATAGTGCTATGGACGTACATGATGGAAGCATAAGGAACTTACTTAATGCTAACAATAACTTACCAGGAACTATTAAAGCATTTATAAAGTCCTTTGTAAAACCTGGTGCTCTAACATTTAGGTCTTTGAGAGCAAGAGCATTGAAGTCAAGAGATGCAGAAACTCCAACAGAAACTCCAGAAGAACCACCAAAACCAACAGCTAATGAAATATTGTTCGAATATTTTCCAAGGTACTCTGTTCTCATTGCATACATTCAAGAAATACTTAAGAAAGCAGACTTGACTTTAGGAGATGATGAAAGTTCTGTATATCTTTCGTTCCAGTTTCAAATAGCAGAACTTTTGAGACAGATATGCTTAATGTATGACAACATCTCTGATTTCACAAGATATGATGACGACCATGACCCCGAACACGGTGAAGAAGAAGTTTTACAAACATCCATTAAGACAGGAAAGGTTTTAACTCAAAGTCTCATTATTGACACCAAAGATGGCGAAGTGGACGTTCTTCAAGAGCTGAAGAAAAATACTTCTTCGGGAGGTGGTGGTAGGCATGAACTTGAAATAAATGAGATAGAAGAGAAATTAGCCGAAAAAGCAGATAAAAACCATGTTCATTATATAAGTTCAGACGAACAGATTATAACGGACTACCATGGATATTTAACACAGGATGAACAAATAAGCACTGAAGATGTTAATGAAAGAAGATATAAATTCATTCGTGCTAAAGGTTATGACATACACTGTACTGTACAGTATGACACAGGTAAAGCACCAGAAGCATTTGGTTATAACAATGAAATTTATGCTTCATACTTCTTTGTTAACGGTGTATTAGTTGAACCAAGATTTACATTGAGAGTTAAGGCAAAAATAACTTTTGAAGATGCTATTAAAAGTAAAGCTGACAAAGATGAACTTGACGCAACGAACAAAGTTTTGAAATCTCATAAACACAATATCTCCGATATAAATGAACTTCAAGCTACATTAAATAGTAAAGCTGACAAGAACCATACACATAAATCCTTCACTACTGTTAGAGCAGACGACATAATATTGAACTATACCCTTGGTTCAAGTGCACCATTAGAAATCCAAGTACAAGCGTAAAAGATACACTAAACTCCTTAAATACAAATGTATGAACATTGAAGGTCATGTCAGAAACTTTGAAACACATGAACTACCAGCAATGTTAGATAAGAAAGCAGAAAAACATACACATAACTCCTTCTCAACTGTTGCTATAGAAAGTATTGAAGGAACGGTTGAAGGAACTGGTGGGGAGGGCGGGCTCCGCCGCACGCGGCTGCTTTATATTATAACCTCCTAACTTTCCACAAGGTTTAACATCGAATGAAAACATAACAACGAAGAAAGAAATTAGCTGTAAAAATGTTTATGTCATGGATGATGAAAATAATGTTAAATTCACTGCTCAAGATTTATATGATAATAAAGCTGACAAGAACCATACACATAAATCCTTCACTACTGTTAGAGCAGACGACATAATATTGAACTATACCCTTGGTTCAAGTGCACCATTAGAAAATCCAAGTACAAGCGTAAAAGATACTCTTAACAATTTAGATAACAGTTGCAGGAATATCGAAGTCATGCCAGAAACTTTGAAGCATATGAACTACCAACAATGTTAGATAAGAAAGCAGACAAAACAGAGCTTCAAACATTAAAGACAGAAATACTTCAAACATTATATCCTATAGGCTCTATTTATACGTCAATGAACTCAACAAATCCAGAACAGTTCTGGTTTTGGTACGTGGAAGCAGATTGTAGATAAATTCTTATACTGTGCTAGATATTCAAAGCAAACAGGAGGTTCGAAGAAAATTAAAGAAGCAAACCTTCCACCGCACACTCATACAGGAACTACAAACACAACAGGTAATCATTCACATTCAATAACAAAAAGAGGTTATACAAATCTTGCAGCAGGTTCGGATAGACAGGGAATGAATAGATATGATATTTCAAGTGACCCAGTAGATTCAAGCACAGGTATTTTCTGTGGAACCACAGGAAATCATTCACACACTTTCACAACAAATCCAACAGGCTCGGGTGCAGATTATATGCCACCATTTGTGACTGTATTCGCATGGTACCGCGTTCAATGAACGCGCTTGAGCCTAGAATAAAATCTTTAACTTTACATAAATGAGCTTGAAAGAAGTATTCGAACAACATCCATGGAGGTCATTTAAGAAGTTCAATGAAGCAGCAAAAAGTTGGGGATTTACTAACAGAGCTGAAGTGAAAAAGTTCTTTGACAAAAATGTTGTACATCAAACAAAAATAAACCCTTACGACTACTTTTTACCAATTTACTCCAACGCTTCTGACGCATACCAATTTGACACTCCCATTCAAAGCAGAAAAGGAGGACATAAACCATTCCTCATCTTCATTAATGTTAACACTCGTAAAGCATATGCATATCCAATGAGGAATAAAGGAACTCGTGAAGTGTTAAGAGTTTTACAAAAGTTTGTAGCAGAACATAGCCCAAGTACTTTAACATCAGACCAGGATTCAGCATACCTCAGCAATGAAATCACAGATTTTCTCATTAAGCATAACATAACTCACTACACTACTGAAGACCATAACCATAACATACTCGGCATCATAAACCGCTTCATAAGGACGCTCAGAGATTTAAACCAAGAGCGAGACTTTACCGAAGAAACAATGAAACATTTTCTCGAAGTATATAATTCCTCAACACATTCTACAACAGGACATACACCAAATTCAATGACACAACAACAAGAAGAAAAGTATATACAAAAGAAACGAAGCCAAACACAAAATATCAGAAATTCAACACAATTTACCCTCATTCCTGGTACAAAAGTTCGTGTAGTTCTTGACGACAAACCGTTGACAAAGAAACGTTTAAGGTTAAGTCGAAATTATTATATCGTAGACTCTACGCAAGGTAATGGATATCTTATAAAAGCTGCTGACGACTCCATTGCATTTTACCCTCGTCATAAATTAGTTGAAAGTAGTAATGGCAAACTTGCTGAAACCATTGACGAAGCAAAGCGAGGAGTGGTTATTGAAATACTTGGCTATAACATAAACGATGACACTTATAAAGTAAGATATGAAGGAGGCGTTGAAGATGTTATACCATCTAAGAACTTGAGAGAATCTAAACCAACTCATCTGGGTCCATTAGAGCGGGAGTACTGGAAAGATAAAAACATGCCAGAAAGAATAAGAAAATTCTTCTAAACTTTTTCGTTGGATGTAAATCATACAAAAATATATTTTAGGTGAAGAGGTGAGATTTCACCTGTTTTCTCACCTGTTTTTTCACCCTCACCGCTTAGCGGCTCAGACCCTTTGGGTCTCGTGAATTTTCATGAATTTCCTTAAGATAGAAAAAATAAAGTTAGTTTTATTTTTATTTATTTTTTTATTTTGTATAAAAGATATGATTTCAACAATCGGCACAACAACAATTCAAACAACTACAGCACCAAACTCGCTAGTCATGAATCCTACGTCAATGTTGGTAGAGATGAAAAGCTTTATTCCTTCTTCATATACTTTTGAGACAGAAATACAAAGAATTAAGCAAGAACTTTTAACAAGTAATTTAGACTGTAGTGCGAAAGATGAAACAAATGAACAGTATCTTTATGACATGCAGGACATTATTGACCATTTACCCAAATTGCCTGAAATTCAGCAGCAAAAACTAACTATTCTGAATTCGATGAAATAGAAGTGAAACCAACTGACTCAGTAGAAATAAAGAAGTTCATACGTAAAGTAAACTATGAGTTTCTAGGATATCATTGCAACCATAAAGTTATGGACAAAGATTGCGACATGGTATATAAGAACATCTCTGACATATATAAATCTGGGGAGTTTAAGACATACGACAACTTTGTTTCATTAGTTGCTGAATGTGTATGGCAGATAAGAGATAAAGATAAAAGATGTAAAATATGGAATGGACAAATAAAACCAACAACTTTTGAGTTAAAGAAAACCATTGACGCCTTAGTTGTTCTAGCAGGTCAAATTTCAATGTATAACGCAAAAATGAATCCGCAATGTTCAAAATGTAAAGCAGCAATGAGGAAATATAACTACTCCGTCAAAGAGATAGAACGTATGAGAAACGACTATGCTGACTTAAAGAAAGAAGTAGAGAAACCAGCAGAAGATAAAATGGACATGTTAGCATTTCTGAACAAAAACTATCCAACAGCTGACGATTTCCTTCTATCTGACGTCAAGAAGAAGTATAAAGAAACTTTCGGCATTGTTAAAACTTTTGACATACTGACAGAAGAAATAGAAGCTACGAAATTGTTTAGAATTTCAAATATACATCGTACAATTCATGTAAAACGCTTATAAAATAACTGGGGTGAAAAATTAGGTGAGAAAACTGGTGAAATCTCACTTCTTCACCTAAAATATATTTTTATTGAATTCAGCAACAAAATTCTGAGTAAAATAATTTTTAGGGCATGTGTCAAACCGTTGAGTTTTCACAAAATTTAAAAAATAACGTTTACCATGTAAAACACTTATAAAATAACTGGGGTGAAAAATTAGGTGAGAAAACAGGTGAAATCTCACCTCTTCACCTAAAATATATTTTTATTGAATTCAGCAACAAAAATAATGAATTTCATTAGTTAGAAAAATAAAGTTAGTTTTATTTTTATTTATTTTTTTATTTTGTATGTAAGAACAGAAATGACAAACATTGAGTTTGAAACAGTTAGAAAGATAGACAATGACACCAAAGTGGTTAGAATAGGTGATTTAAACGTAAGATACTCAAAGAAATACAACAAATATTCTTTGTCAGACATTATATCTCCATCTGAAAAGAAAACAAACCATTGGGTTAGAAATGCTTCAACTCAGAAAATTTTGACAAGAAATCCTGAGCTTATGATATCGGTAAGATTCTATGGAACTACAGCATATCTCATTGACAAAAGTCTTATACCAATAGTTTTGTTATGGTTAGACCCAGTTGTTGGATATAACTTCATAACTTATGGTTCATTCGATACGGAACGTTGCAGTGAAGGCTTACTTTACATCGTTCAGAAACCGAAGGACTTCAATACAAAGAGATATAAGATAGGAAGAACATATAATATAACTCAAAGATATGACAGTACAGTCAATAGAGTCAAGGTTGTGTTCGTTAATGATATGAGAGCTGCAGAAACAGAACTACTTGAAAAGTTTGAGAAAAGGTATGGTGCTCCCATGAAAGGTAAAGAAACGTTTGAAGTAGATGAGATAGATAAAGCTATAAAATTATTTGACGAAGTTGCTGAAAAATACATGTAAAGCGTTTATTTTTGGTCTTTTGTGAAAGTCAGAAAATAAAGTTAGTTTTTTATAAAATATTTTTTTTATCCGGAATATAAAGACAGATATGTCAACAACAGAGAACACAACAACTGCTATCGTTCATGAAGCCATTAATGAAGAATATGAATACATACAGTATAACAAACAATTGAGACTCATTCGTTCGGTCAAAGACGATATGTACCAGATGCAAAGTATTTTGACGGCTTGTTTTGCTCCAGACACTAAGCTTCCTAAAGACTGGTTTAGGAACCAAAGCACCATTGAACTCTTAAGCGAAGCACAGCGAGACATACTTTTTTCTGAAAACAGTGAAGAACAGCGAGTAGGTAAAAAATCCCAGTCGCCAAAACTCTATGAAAACCGTGAAAAATTGCCAAACGGTTTGAGAGGATATTATGTTCATAGACTTCTCGTAAATAATGTGGCACAATGGGCTTCAGCTCGCTATTCATGGTATGTTTGTAAACTTCTTGACGAACTTCACAGACAAGAACGCGAAGATATGGAAAAGAAACTTCATGCAAAAGATGAAGTCATTGAATCCAAAGACAAAAGCATACAGAAAAGAATACCACGTTCAGTACCAAAAGGAAAGGAAAAGAGTTATAAGTATATGATATATACTGAAGAGTTGGAGAAAGAAGAAGATAAAGATATGGTTATGTTGCATTTAGTCAGAAGAAACAACAAGAGCTTTTATGACTTAGCTAAAATATATAAATCTGACAGAAACTGGTTCTATCGTGAAAACTTACCGATTTCAATGACACCGAATGAAGATGTGAAACAAATAGTTCAAGATACGTTACCTCAAACACACTATGACATCAAAGGTTGCACAATACTTACATTCAAAGAAGACTTAACATTACTGAAAGAAAAGATAACAGAATATTTCGACAACTTCAAAGAGGAAGAATGAAAAAAAATCTCGTCGGGTGCCACGTTAGAACCATAGTGGAGAAAACCATGATAAAAACAAAACGCTCCATGTCGATCATAATCGACGAAGTGCAAATCTTCACTTCGTCAAGTTTATTTTGTTTTTACCATTTAAGTGTTGTAAAATGTCGATATGAAGACTAACCAAAAATATATTTTTGCTTAAATGACGTCAGGGTCAATTTCTTCAACCATTTCACTTCCTTCGTCAATGTCAATAGAAGCTTCTTCAACCTTTGGTAAGAATTTCTGTATAACATCTTTGTTCGTTATTGTCTTCAGAGATGAAGGATAATATTTCACATTTGTTTCACCCTTCTTATATTCTTTCTGTTCGGAAAGATTCATAGCAATACTGAAGAAGTCAATGTTAGAGTTCTTTATGACAGTATAATGAGTATCTTTGACATTCACGAAGAAAACTCTTTTGTTTCAAAACTACTGCTAACTCTTTGAAGTATAACGTTTGCGGTCAATGACAATAGCTAATGATGTCTGACATACTGACCGAACTTAAGATTCTTTCAACAAACTTCTTGTTAAAGATAACATTGACGTTTGAAGCACCATTGAACTCATTCTTGATGGCAGTAGCGAGAGCATTGTAATGAAAAGAACTTGCAATCTTGCATGTGTTTCATTATAATAAAAATTCGAATATTTTAAAACTAGCCTTAAAAAATCTAAGCTAATTTTTTTCTAAGAAATTTTTTTATTTTTACTAAAGATGTATCGGAAGTTGTCTAAATTAGAACACTAGGAAATAAAACAACTTCTTACAGAAGCTAACATAGATGTTGCAAAACATTACGCGACAAACAAAAAATCACTCGCTGACATCCTCAATGACTACAAATGGTGAAATAACTTATGATAGAATTCATGAGTTCATAAATGCAAGAGCATTTCCTTTAAATGACGTTGCTATTGACTTATATCATAGACGTTCAGTACCTCATGAAGTAAGAAGAGAAATGTTTGACATAACAAATGCAAACGTTGGTCATACTCGTAAAGCTCTTTCGCATGATGTTCGTCAAGAGATGTTTGAACTCGAACTCAAAACGTTGGTGAAACACGAAAGAGAGACGACACATGAAACAACAGAGAAGAGAGATGTTTAAAAGTGCTATAGAACAAGTTCGCAAAAGCTAATAATGTCATTCGTTCCATTGACGACAACAACCAAAAGAAGGTGAGAGATGGTTAAAGAAAGATGAAGAGAAAGGAAGAGAAATGTGAAGTCAGGCAATAGACTCATTGACTTTAACATCGGAAGGCTTTAGATGAACCAAACAGAGACTACTTACACAAACATTTCGGTAAGGTTTTCATGAGACTCTTAGAGAAGATTAAAAATAAACTCCCAAACAAAGATGGATGGTATGTTATAAACTTGGTGGAAAGTATGAATGTTCTACGTTAACCTCAATAATATTGGAACATTACTACATCAGCTCTTGAAGGAGAACTTTATTATCAGAGATAGAAGCAAATGCCGCAGGTATTGTTGAAATGCACTATGACTTCTTCTTGACAAACATAAAGAATCTTACTGAAATAAAATGTATGATTTAACAGAATATGAAGGCTTAACGATGTCAGATGTTAAGAAAGGAAAGCCACAGAAGCGACCATATAGAGATGAAAGCACACTGACAGAAAGACAGAAAGATTATTGAACAGACTTAAACAAACAGGAGATAAACAAGATATAGATGACTTCTGGAATGAAATCCTTGGTGAAAAGAAGTTTTATAAGAAGAGAAGCGGTCAGTTCTGGAAGTATCTTTGCACGTTACCTATAAATCTTGAACGCTACCAAATCTTCAATGAACTGAACAAAGAACTGCAGCACTTATGACAGAGGACAATTGTTTCGTTTATGCTTGCATTCAGGCTGGAGTAAATGAAGAAACTATTGACCACATGAGAGAAGTCCATTCGTGTTAGAGACTTTCCTCAAAGTAAAGTACAAGAAATTTCTGACGCAACAGGTATAGCATTTAATGTTACCATTGGTTACTTCAATGACTCAAGACATAATGAAATAAAGAGATACATACCAAAAAGAATGTAAAACTGTTCGAACTATTGACTTACTTCTTGTTGAAGACCACTACATGCTAAACGAAAGACTTCCAATGACAACATATTTCATTCGCAACTATATAGAAATCTTGAAGGAGTGTGGTGGAATGAACATTGAGAAACAGAATGAAGATTTATACAAAGAGAGAAGATAAATATGTAGTTCGCATGGATAGAACTACACCGCTATGGGATGTTATGAAAACATTGTGGGAGTGCAAATATTTCGAACCTATTTCTTATGGAGAACTTTTCACATATACGACTGACTTATATAAACAGAACCTTGCACCATTTAAAGATTTGACATATGCTCCAAAGTATTGTGTACAACTGAAGAAGAAAGCCGAGTCAAAAGAAGTAAATAAAGCTAAATGTAAGTTCATTCCTGAGCATGTTTTCTTTGCTGACTTTGAGTGTAGTACGGATGGCTTTCATAAAGCTTTTAACATTGTTACGACAGTGAAGATGGTTCAGTGAGTCAAAGCATTTGGGTCAGAACTGTGCAACAGAATTTTTTGGAACGACTTCCTGACAAGAGTTTAATATATTTCCATAACCTCAGCTATGATATAAACTTCATCTTAAGACACATGACAGAAGTGAAAGGAACTCCCATCATTAAAGGTTCACGAACAATGCAAATAACTGGCTTATATAAAGGAAGGGCAATTATTATAAAGACTCTTACAGTGTTATAAATAAGAAGCTTAAACTATTTCCTGCTATGTTTAACTTACAAACAGGACCGAAAGAAGTATTTCCATACAACTACTACAGCAGTCTTTGTTAGCAAATGACAACAGAACTGGTGTCATTTCTGAAGCGTGTAAGTTTATCCAGGATGCAGATACATTTATGAAAAACATAGATTCCATCAAAGGTTGCAGAATAGATGAAAACCACTTCGACTTAGAAAAATATAGCACATTTTATTGCAAACAAGATGTAAGAATTTTAAGAGAAGGTTTTGTTAAGTTCCGCAATGACATATTGAAAGAATTTGATTTAAAACGTTTATGACTACGTAGTATTTGTTCAATTGCTAACAAATTATTTGAGAACAGAGTATACTTCCGAATGGAAATCTTTATGACCTCTCAAATAAACCAAGAGAATTTATTTCGAGATGCATTCAAGGTGGAAGATGTATGTTGTCAGATAACATGAAACAAAAGAGCGAAAAGAAACTCATTGCTGACTTCGACGCTGTTTCATTATATCCATCCGCTATAGCAAGACTTTATACTTTTGAAGGAATTCCAAAAGTATTGAAGGATGAGATGTTAAGTTCTGAATATTTGTTAAGGATACCCTTACATTGCGTAGTTAGAAAGAGAATATGATATTGTATGATTGCTAAAGTTATGCTCCAGAAATGAATATACATCAAACTGAAACAATTGATAAATTGAATGAACTTTGAGAGGTTCTCAAATAAAAAAAATTATCTTAATTTTTTACAATATTACTATTATTTATCCACATATGTATATATAGTAATTTGAAGAAAACTTTTAGGAAAAAATAAGTTTAATAAAAATCTGAATTTTACTTGTTGTGGGATTGTTATTAATTGACACTCCAGACGTATTACTAATAGTTATGCGTATGCAATTAAAGTATTTTCTGATGACAAAATGTGAGATTTATATCAGATAATTCATTTCTACTATTAAGTTATTCATTTATGAGTTTGCACTTATTCGCACTAAATAAATAACTATTAAAAATTGTTTTAATTAATTGACACATATAATAGAGTGAATTTGTTTGATCAAACAACAATAGATGTAGATATAAAGCCAAGAACTTGCCTATTATATGCTCTACTTGCTATTTCAATTAAGTATGATATTTTCTAAATGTTTCGTTCAGATAACTTAGATATATTAGTCAAAATTTGAAATTTTAATAGCACATATATTAAAAATAATATTATTCATAAAGATTAATGAAATAGTAAAAAAAATCAATCAAATTATAAAAATACAACATTTAAAGAATTCTTATTATCCTTCAAAAAGTCAGTATTTCTGCTGTAATTTTCTACAACATTGTAGTTATTGCACTTTGTCTATGGATTTGTATATATGTTATATATAAATATATCTAAACTGCCCATAAGTGCAATTTTTATATTAAATTGTTTATTTCTTTAACAATTTCATATGAAATATGCTTTTTTAAGCGTATCAAAGCTGTGTTCTTAATGTGCATGATATATCAAGAAAAATGTCGAAAAAAAATGTGAATTCACAAATTCACTGAATTTTCACCGTTTTTGAATTTTGCTACAGCACTAATATTAAATAATACTAAAATCTTCTGTCTTTGTAAAAGAATAAATTCTGACAAAAAAGTGCTCGTTTAAATTTAATGATCATCTGTATGACTAAGTGGTAAAAAGTGTTTATGACCAAAAAAGGGTTACATGCTTAGTCTATTTTTCTGACAGGATACTCTAGATTTACATGATCTCTATTTCATATCTCCGTTTTTTAGATTCTTCGACAGATTTTATGATAGAAAACCAAGATTAACAAATTTCCGGCATGTTAATGAAGAAATCTGCAGCTACCCTCAATATTTATTCAATAATCAGTATCGTTTCTCTTACAATATTTTTTTCTCAATAATTTAACAAGAAATAACAATACACACTTGGTTTTACGTATAAAAGCTAAGTGTCGAACTTAATCAACTTTACTTACTTAGCAAATGAATATTTTTGTGGTTGCGAGTTCTGAATGCTGAAGTTTTAGATTTCTCTATAAAGATATCATTGCACTTACAATGTTGTTCCAGCCTATCGCAGAAATCATAGAAAATCCAAAAAAAAATAATATAAAGAAAATTCATGTCATGAAGTTCAAAAATACCGTGTAA